CTGCTCAGGGACCAACAGCTGTTTTGGCTTCTATGATAAGGAAGCTGAGAGTTGTTTTTCCTAGAAAAATCTCTGTGACAGCTTGAAATTACAGCTAGAAAAAGCAAGAAAATTTTGTTTAGTCTAAATATATAAGCTGTGTAGCCACTACATTTTTGTTTCTGACTGGTTTTAAAAGTATAAATATGTTCTGCATGTCTTGGTAATCGATTATTGGCCTGTGAGTTATTGGGTATGATTTAAAAATTTGCAACTTTTTTTGGTAACAGAGAGTTGGTTTAAAACTGGCAACACAGGGTTGGAGTTATTCAGAAACCAGATGTATAAAGACAAGATTTAAAACAATGTCTCTTCAATGAGATATTAAAAGCTGTACTGTCATACATTCATATAAGAACTGGCAGCCAAACTTTGTAACATGAAAGTAATGCACTTGGTGTTGATTTTAGAGAAAATCGATTGGTTTTTTGTTTGTTTGTTTGTTTGTTTGTTTGATTTTCGAGACAGGGTTTCTCTGTGTAGTCCTGGCTGTCCTGGAACTCACTCTGTAGACCAGGCTGGCCTCGAACTCAGAAATCTGCCTGCCTCTGCCTCCCAAGTGCTGGGATTAAAGGCGTGCGCCACCACCGCCCGGCGAGAAAATCGATTGTTTACATTGTTAAAAATTGGTTTTGTTTCCCAAAATTATGGTTGTAAAAGAAACTTAAAAATATAGTTAAACTGTGAGTATTCCATTGGCTGCAGTTGGCAGTTCAATCGTGAGCTTGGGATTTTTTGACTCACCCAAGTTTATGGTTGAGAAGAGGATAGAGCAGGTAGAGTTGAATAAAAGTGTTACAAACAGCTGTGGCACAGTACAGGCCTGCAGGAAGGATAATCTTTGGCCCAGGCCTCAGGATATAGGCCAAGATTAAGAACACTTACATTTGAATTAAGACAATGCACAGAGTGGGCTCAGCAGAAGCTTGTTATGGTCATCCTGACCTGGCCCTAGAAAGGTGTTTTCTGGAATTTGTTTATTGCCTTGCTTGTCCCTTGGGGAGGAGAGGTCAGCCTCAGACCCAAAGACATTCACAACAGACAGCTTATGGACCAGGAGTTATTGATAATGATTATGCTGGAGGAATTGAAATTATGCCTGCTTCCCTCCATGGCGTTATAGCTGTGCCTGCTAACAACAGAATTGCTCCAAAGAGTAGGAGAGGACAAGATTGGCCTTCAACTTGCCCTTTATCTGATACTCTCACTCAGCTGCAAGGATTGGTTATTCAATTAATCCAAAACAAAGTTCAAACTTAAGATTTATGAAACCTACAGCACTTGGGAGGCAGAGGCAGGTGGATTTCTGAGTTCGAGGCCAGCCTGATCTACAGAGTGAGTTCCAGGACAGCCAGGGCTATACAGAGAAACCCTGTCTCGAAAAACAAAAAACAAAAACAAAAAAAAGAAACCTACAGCCTGACTTGCCTACTCCAGCTGCCATTCCAGTAAATGCATATAGAATTATTATAGATTTAGAAGATTGTTTTTATAGCATTCCTTTACATCCTGGTAAAGGTAAGAGGTTCGCATTCAGTGAGTTGGCTTGTAATTTTTGAGAGACCATGAAGTGATATCATTAGAAAGGTTTGCCTCAAGGAATAGTTAATAGCCTTACTATCTATCTATCTATCTATCTATCTATCTATCTATCTATCTATCTATCAATCTATCTATATTTGTTGCTTTAACACAAAAAGTTAAGAGTTTGAAACTCTCAGTATTATTATTCATTGTATGATATTTTATTAGCTGATCCCTCTGAAGGAGTTTTTCTGCAAGCCTTTGCTCTCATATGAGCTTTAAAATTTTGGAGTGCTTGTTGCTTCAGAAAAGATTCAAAGGCAATATCTTTTCAATATTTGGGACCTCAGTTATATCCTAAGCAGATTGTGGCACAGAAAATTCCAATAAGAATGGATAGTTGGGGTTGGAGAGATGGCTCAGCCCTTAAAGGCTAGACTCACAACCAAAAGAATGAGTTCAATTCCCAACAACCACATGGTGGTCCACAACCATCTGTAATGGGATCTAGTGCCCTCTTCTGGCTTGCAGGTGTACATGCAAAAAAAATGGTTTACTTTCAATGATTTTCTTTTTCTTTTTTCTTTTTTCTTTTTTTCTTTTTGGTTTGGTTTTTTGAGACAGGGTTTCTCTGTGTAGCCCTGGCTGTCCTGCAACTCACTATGTAGTCCAGGCTAGCCTCGAACTCTCGAACTCAGAAATCCGCCTGCCTCTGCCTCCCAAGTGCTAGGATTAAAGGCGTGCGCCACCACCGCCTGGCTCCTTATTCCAAATAGCAATTAAATTGATTATTGAAAAATACTGATATTTGGACTATTACCTGGCAAACTTTTTAGGCAAATTTGATAATCATTATCCAAAAGACAAGTTGTTACAGTTTTCCTCTACACATGCTTTTGTATTTCCTGTAAATCTATGCACGCAGACCATAGAAAAGGTATTTACTGTATTTACAGGCAGCTCATCTATTGAGAAGACAGTATATGTAATTAGATCACATGTTCATTTTCTTGAGTTTCACTGTCTCAGCACAAATAATTGAATTATGTGCTATAGCCACTGTTTGAAATGCTGAAAAATCAAGTTTTCAATTTGTAGACTCATAGCCAGTATATAGCTCATGGTTTATAATTGCTTAAAATTGTTCTTTTTCTAGATATTGCTAATTCTCAAATTTTACAGTTATTTATAGAAATACAGCTTAATTTAAGAAACATGTACTATTCCTTAGCTTTATAAGACATTTAAGAGCTCATACTGGATTACCTGGACCCCAGGGCAATGCCACAGCAGATGTATACCAGGCAGATTATAGACCCTACAGAACAATTGGCCATACAATCTTATTCTTTACATCATCAAAATAATAGTAGCTTGATACAATAATTTGACATTTCTAGAAAGTGTGCAAGTCAAATTACAAAAACTTGTTCTCAGTGTCCTCAATTTTTTTCATCATGGTGTTAAGCCTTGAGGACTTATACATAATCAATTTTGGCAAATGGATGTTATTTTGGAAAATTAAAATATGTACATGTGACTCGACACCTTTCAGGCTTTCTAGTTGCAACTGCTTGTTGACAATTTAATATTACTCATATTACTGAGATTCCTTATTATCCTCAAGGAATTGTGAAAGATATTGTAGAACTTTAAAATAATATATCCATAACTCTCTGAGTGTAGGAGGAGCAGCTACTGGCGCTTCTGCTCTGGCTTTGCAAGGAACTCTGAAAAACTGGCTTTTAAAACTAAAGAGGGGGAATTATACCCTCCAAGGTCACCAAAAGGGCACCTTGCCTTTGTCTTAATTGGTTTTAAAGTTTTTGGAAACTGATGTTAAAGTCAGTCTGTAGCAGATCACCACTGGCATCCAGTCACTTCCAGCTCATTTGCCAGGGTCAAATGGAGAGACCCCCCCCAAATTAATACATGGGATGGTCTCGACTCTGTTTTAATTTGGGGCCATGGTTCTGTGTGTTTTATCACAAAAGAAAATGGAGCCCGATGACTGCCTGAAAGATTGGTCCGTCAAGTGGACATGGATCCTGAGCCTAATGCTTATGATTCTGATGATGAAGACAGCTCAGAATCCCTACCAGCCAGCTGAGTTAACCTGGCATACAGTCTCCACTCTTACTAGAGAGCAAGTGTTTTTTATCATTACTTAAAACCACTCACTATATACCTGATGTCTGATCCCTGCCAATTAGCATCGGGATTAGATACTGGAACATTCCTGCTTACAACCTTATTTTCTACACTGCTTGGAGAATCCTGTTGCTTTTAACCTTTGAGCTTTGTATCTCAAACAGATTGGTTGCCTTCACACAGCATCGCTCTCAGCAAGCTCAGCTATTCACCATGGCAGTTAACCATCGCTATGAAGAGTTTCACTGAGCGCATGCTCACAGGTCCTTCGGTCTGAATGTGGCTTTGGTCTGTATGGGAAAGAGTGTGTCAATGATGGCCGGTGAGTCAAAGACGGGTAAGAATGTTCTTGAGCTCCTATAGACCTAAGACTGAGGCTTATATCAGTAATGCTATGTATGTTCTCCATGACGGGTAATAAGCAGCAATATAGACGCCAACCTAAGCCATGCATGGTTGCCTGGCCACTTTTTGCCCTAGATGGGATGAAATCTTGTGCCCCGTCCAGCTGCTGGCACTGCTCATCTTTAAAAATGAAAAAGGGGGAATTATGCCCTTCTCCCACCCTTGAGCAGGCCTGAAAGACCTTGTTTACCACAATAGACCAAATTATAGGACCTAGGAGGAGTAACCCACCTTGGCTGCATGTGCAACCTGCTACAAGAACTTAGAAGAATAAACTGCCCGCTGAGCTTGCCTTGAGACAACTCTGAATGTGGCAATTATGGGCTCCCCCACCCATCTCCAGCTGAAACAAGGAGGAGTTTGGTGGGGTTTTCCCTTTAAATTAAGAGCTGGACATTAAACTTTGAGCCTTGATCAGAGAACTTTGTCTTGGCTCCATCTTTTCTTGCCCTTCACCTCTTTCTTCATTTCCAGCCTTCCTTTCAGGTGAACCCAGTTGGTCGGTGGCCGCTGGCGGCTACATCCCTAGAGCAGCAGTGACATGAGACAGGTGACAATGGTGCCCACTGGGTGGCTGTGTCCAGTAGAGACCCGGTATGGGGACTGGGTCAAGGGAGTGGCTGTGGGTTAGTATGTCGAAAATCAGTTCCTCTTTAGGGATTTCTTCTAGAGGTGCTTACATTACAGGGAAGGACTTACTTCAGACAGCTGAGAGTCAATTTACATTTACTATACAATATGCACCAATGTAGAAGAAACGTATTTGCAATCTTAAATAGCTAACGTTAAAAACACAGTATTCCTAACAATAGAAAGTTGCAAATGTGCAAGAATTCTAAATGTGAACCGCGGGAGGAGCCCATTGCCGGAAAGGGGAGGGGTCACAGAGCAGCAGCTTCCGTCTTCGCGGCCACGGGTCCACCCTCCTTGCTGATGTCATCCTGGGATCCTGAAACACAGTAAACCGGAATCTGAGAACAGGATGCCCCTCGGGTGATGGGCAGGGCAGGCTGAATCTCACACACTGGGTTCTCTTATCAGAAGTTCCGATAGCAGAGTGACACCGTGACCTGTCTTCCCTCCCCATGACTCTTTCCCGGCTCTACGGTCCATCCTGAGACCCTCTAGGTATCCGAGGCTAGCTGCCCAGATCGCGTTCCTCTTTTTGTGCCTTCCTGACGCGTTGAGTTGAGACACCTTGTCTACCTCGTGACTTTCAGACAGCCGGGGACTGGACCCGGAGATCAGCGGCTGAGCTCAGGTGTGAATGAGGTTTGGGGATCTACCTGTCTCTCCACCAAGCTAAAAGAAGGGAAACTGAGGCTGGGCCAAGGGAGAAGCTAGAGAGCAGAGACATTTAACAAACTCTGAAGTGCGAGGGCTACGGGTGTACAGGAGAGTCATGGGGGGGGGAGGGAGGGCGGGAGGTGGAGAAGAGCCAGAGAGCCAATTGGGAACTTAAGGAGATGAAGTTGAGTTACATACTCATGGCTGCTTCTGCCTTCTCCTCCTCCTCCGTGGTGTCAGACAAGCATGCTTCTGTGTGCACTAGGGCGGTGACGGAGATGGAGTGGCCTTGGGGGAAGAGGGAGGGAAAGTCTAAGGTGAGGGTCTGAGCCTCTGCTGCCCTTTGCATCAAGGGTGCAGGGCCTCAGTTCCCCATCCCTGCTCCTGTCTAAGAGCCTCTGTGCCCTTTCCTGCACGCTAAGGACAGCCTCTGGGCATCTCCCCCCCCCCCCCAGCACCCACGCTCCACCATGATGCTGAGGGTGAGTGCCTGTCTTCTCCTAGTCTTCCTAGAGGCTGCCATAGTCCCTGTGACGTTTTCTGCATGTCGCTGACCCTCCTCTTTGTGCTCTGCCTCGTGCTACCGGCTCCTCCTCTGGGATTGCTGCCAGATTTCTCTCTCCTTCTCAACCTCACTCCCGTAATTCTCCAACACGGGGAGATCGGAGGAGAGATCAAGAGTATATGGTTACCTCCCTAACTATTCAGCTGCCTATGGCCCCTTTACACACAAGTGCGCCCATCGGCGGCCAGGAGTTGTGTTTGTCTCGTGCAGGAGAGTGACAACCGGCACACATGGCAGATAAATATTTTGGGCCTGTCATAACCGGTGGGGCCCGGGAGACATTGGGACTTCACAGCAATTCCATTGCTGATGGGACAAACATAAGTTGAGGAGGGGCCCGGCAGTTGTTACACGGGGCTGGGAAGGTAACTGGAGGTCTGGGGACCTGAAACCAGGTTAGGAGATTGCCAGGAGCCAAACCCATGAAATGAAATTACTTGCTGTTCTGGAAAGACTAGTTAAAGCACAAGATCAAGAAAGGATGTTTGTATAGCCGGGTGGTGGTGGCGCATGCCTTTAATCCCAGCACTTGGGAGGCAGAGGCAGGCGGATTTCTGAGTTCAAGGCCAGCCTGGTCTACAGAGTGAGTTCCAGGACAGCCAGGGCTACACAGAGAAACCCTGTCTCAAAAAAACAAAAACAAAAACAAAAAAAAACAAAACAAAAAAAAGGATGTTTGTGGTCTCAGGTCCCAGGAATTGAAAGAACGTCTGGTATTTCCCAGAAGTTGGTTAGGATAGTGGGATGGTCTTGGGCAATGACTCCTGCCTAATCTTCCCGTGTTGCTATGCCTTTATAATCTCCAGCCCGATAATAAAATTTGAGAGCTTGGTCAGAACTCTAGACTTGCTTTCCTTCTTTGTGTCCCCTGTCCATTCTTTCGCACCCCGATCCCCAGGCCCTCGTTGAATCCCCAGTGGGCCGGGGCAGGAGATGTGGACTGTGTCTGAATGAAGCGGTAGAAGGTAGCACCTTCTGGTCAGAGGCTCTACCCTGAGCCTGTGGATCTCCAGGGACAGGGCCAAGGGACAGGTCGAGAGGCTGGGTGTGCTGCCCCCGCCCACACAGGCTCTGTTACTGTTGCCTTGCTTCAGAGAGGCTCAAGGGGCTGTGGGACATAAGAGTCCCCGATAGAAATAGCTTCCGATTTGTTTCTAGTCTCACAGTACGGGAAACAGGGTTAGAGTGGAGGTGAGACGCGACTGAAAATGGACTTACCACCCCTCCCCAGGACCCAGGACCGTGTGCTGTCCTCCCAGTGGCCTCTTTTTAACTCATCCCTCCCAGGGAGCGTCTGTAAAAGCAGGTGTGTGAAGAGAGGACAGGACAGAAAATGGCTGAGATTCTTGACGGCGCAGGGGAGGAGGGTGGGCTTCTCATCCACCACCCTCGCCACACCTGAGCATGAGACCTGCGTCTCCAGCTTTCCTTAAGCCGAATACAAATAGCTCTGACAGTGGGCTTGCCCTCAAAGTCCGCTGTGGAGGTGTCTGGCTCAGAGCCATGAGACCTCCGCAGGGCTTGTGGATAGGGTTTCTTTCTTTCTTTCTTTCTTTCTTTCTTTCTTTCTTTCTTTCTTTCTTTCTTTCTTTCTTTCTGTCTCTCTCTCTCTCTCTCTCT